GAGAGAATGACCGCCGGAGAAACCTTTTCATTATTTGTTGTTGTCCTCGTCCAGAATGGCTGTTGTTCCCTGTATATTTTATTTACAGGGCGTTTTATATATTTAAAAGACTTTTCTATTTAAAAGAATGAAATAAAATTAATAATAAGTTTTTAAATGGAGGCTGTTCCCTCGCTTAATATTCTACCAGCCTTCCTAAAATAGGCGAGATCTAAATAAAAAAAAAAACATGACATAGTCAAAATAAAAAAAAGAAAAGAAAAGAAAACTTTCTCCATCGATTCTTCAATAGCACAATTTCTACGGAAGTTAGTTGATATTGCTTCAGTAGGTGCAAATTATACAGTATATCATGTGGTAAAGACTGCAGTAAATTTACTTAAAGAACGATATTTAAAACCATTGCTTCCTGATAGGCTATTAAATGGCTGTCGCGAAACTCATTTTCTTATAATTTATGAAAAACACCTCACGTATCATGATGGGCCTGAACAGCGCTTGAACTTACTTGGTGTACAAACTTTGTATTTTTTTTTAGATTGTTATTAGCTGAGTTAGAGCTCTGTACTGTAACGTACGACATATTTCCTTTACTTTATTTCCCGCGAGTCTCCGTGACATAACGAGTTAATGAGGTGTTCTTTCTGTGTATCCGGAGATAGTAGGCGCCTGAAACGGGATTTGACAGGGGTAAAAAACTTAATTACAAAAAAAGTAAGTAAACAAAATCCCATCAAATGGGTATCGAAAGTTTAAATGGCTTTTCTCTTTTTGTCTTTTATCTTTTATCTGAATCGGCAGTGGGAAACGGAAAAACCTTGATTTTGCAATTTTAATTTCGTTCCGTACAGCAAGTTATCAACCGGAAATTAACCCGGCATTGTCCGAACGAGAAATGATTCAGATATTTTTTAAAAATCATTGTTACTTGAGAGTTCACTGTTCGGCCTTATGTATATACTTCAGAATGTTACGGCTGTTAAGCGTGGTTTTGAAAAATCGTTTTTCGTGCTTTAATGGTAATGGCTATTTGTCGAGAGTCACTATCCTACGCACCAAAAAACTGACATTAACATATTTAAGTAAAACAAAAACGACGTTTCAAGTGAGTGTAGGGGTAGTCTTGATTGAAAGTGAAGCAACTGGCTGTCTACAAGCTGGAAGTCTTAACTTTTTTCAAAATTAGCAGGTGTTTCGTTCTCAAACGTGAACATAACTTATATTTGCAAGTTCTTCGCGCCAGTCGTCATTGTTACATTTTAAAAGTTTGCTGGTATAGTGTTTCATAGCATTTACAAATTAAATTCAAAAGTTGGATGAGCTGGATAAGCTGATTAAACTACAGTATTTATTCGAATAAGCGCTCAACCTCGAATAGCGCCCACCTCGAAAAAGCGGCCATCCTAGAGGCAGAAAAAGTTAATAAGCGCCCAGCCTCGAATAAGCGCCCACCCCTCCCCTTTCCATTCAAACTCAAATAAGCGCTCACAACCAAAACCCACTCCCCTTCCCCCTCGTAGCCAAATAAACTGAATAAGTACTAATAAGAGACTTCGATTCCCCGAACACGGAGTTTTCTTCAGAGCATTTTACAGAAACCTTGCGTTGTTACATCTTCGCGTTTTGTTGTTACCATTTATTGTTTTGTTGCAAAATAAACATACTACGCTTGCTGAAAATGGTGAAAATTTAACAAGCGCCCAGCCTCGAATAAGCGCCCACTCTCAAGGTCCAAAAATTTAATAAGCGCCCATGGCGGTATTACGGTGCAGTTTTCATGAGGTTTTAGCTCATTGTAAGCAATATTGAAGGAAATATCAGCCTAGGCAAACTAGAGAAATGACGGATGGCATAAGGCCAGTATTAGAAGTATACATTTGTAAAATTTCGAATTTGTCAAAACAAAACTTCTCCAAAAGTATTCCGGTTGATAGGGTTTCAAATTGTCAGAGGTGTGACATTTCAAAATTCAGAGGTCCGATGTTTTTTCAACGAGTATCATCAGTAAACTTACAAATATTTAACTATATTGGCGGTGTCTGAATATCAGATTAAACACTCGAGTGAGTGTGTCCTGCGAATACAGCGGTTCATCATCGCTCCCCGCCCCAAGCAAAACATTCGGAGAACGATGACATACGCCTGTACCCAGAGAGAGTGTTTTAAAATGGTCAAAAGTTCTTACGAACAATTAAGACACAGTCTGCAAAATGTTTGATAATTAGGACCAAATTTTCAAACTTCCTTCACATAAGGAGTTCCTTGATTTTCCTTCCACGAATATACTTTTCATGAGTTTGGGAAGTAGTTTCTGTCGCCCGGTCATGAAAAATGGATACCGACTAAGCGAAATTAAAGACCCGCGAATTTAAATCTCGCGAAATTTAATACTCGTGTAGAAAATTCACTGAAAAAAATGATTAACATGTAATAACAAAGACCTAGTATACCAGATATCTATCGATAAATCAACAATCTGGTTTTAGTGGTTTTCAGTTCCATTTTGTATTGCTTTTTCTAGTTTTAAAAGGTACTTTTAAATTATGCGTTATGCTTTTTGCAATTTATCTAGAAATTTAAGTAAATTCAGAGTCATTTCCAAAAAGTAAAATGAAGTTAAGATCGCTTGAATCGCGAAATTTAATCCCTTTTTTCGTAGTTGGCTATTGAAATCGCGAAAATAAAACCCCGCGAATTATACTGTTTCGCTAAAATCGCTAAATCAAGTACCAAGAAGGTATGTTAATATTAANTCCTGCGAATACAGCGGTTCATCATCGCTCCCCGCCCCAAGCAAAACATTCGGAGAACGATGACATACGCCTGTACCCAGAGAGAGTGTTTTAAAATGGTCAAAAGTTCTTACGAACAATTAAGACACAGTCTGCAAAATGTTTGATAATTAGGACCAAATTTTCAAACTTCCTTCACATAAGGAGTTCCTTGATTTTCCTTCCACGAATATACTTTTCATGAGTTTGGGAAGTAGTTTCTGTCGCCCGGTCATGAAAAATGGATACCGACTAAGCGAAATTAAAGACCCGCGAATTTAAATCTCGCGAAATTTAATACTCGTGTAGAAAATTCACTGAAAAAAATGATTAACATGTAATAACAAAGACCTAGTATACCAGATATCTATCGATAAATCAACAATCTGGTTTTAGTGGTTTTCAGTTCCATTTTGTATTGCTTTTTCTAGTTTTAAAAGGTACTTTTAAATTATGCGTTATGCTTTTTGCAATTTATCTAGAAATTTAAGTAAATTCAGAGTCATTTCCAAAAAGTAAAATGAAGTTAAGATCGCTTGAATCGCGAAATTTAATCCCTTTTTTCGTAGTTGGCTATTGAAATCGCGAAAATAAAACCCCGCGAATTATACTGTTTCGCTAAAATCGCTAAATCAAGTACCAAGAAGGTATGTTAATATTAATTTTAGAGATGTTATTTATATATGTGGCATAAGTTTTGAACCACGTTGTATCAAAGACATAGCAAAAAAAGATGAAGCCCCCGGAGAGATTTGAACTCTCGACCCCTGGTTTACAAGACCAGTGCTCTAACCACTGAGCTACGGAGGCGTGCGGTGGAGGAACAGCTTTTATTGCGAATTATACTTGTATTTACAAGACACCAATGATCACAGTTGGGTATTTCCACAATTGTAATTTACGTCTCTTAGTATTAAGTAATCTATCATCCTTTAAAGTAACTACCAATCATACTGAATTTATGGTCATTTCAGGTAGTTTATCATCCCAGTAATTTATTGTACTTTAGAGTTTTTCATGGTTATAGTTATTTATCATCCTTCGGGTACGGTAATCTGTTATAATATGAAGACTTTGTCGGCTTTCGGCAACAGAGTGTTTCTTTTTTGCGGGGTTAAAAATATACTAGCTAGCAAGGCCTCTGTTATTAGTACAAAAGACAAGCTAACGCAGCTGTTTTTCTTCTGGGGGTGGTACTTAGGAGGCTGTCCAACACCCTGTTGTCCGTATGCTGGTGTCAAGAAAATGGAACAAGTTTGCGCACACTTGGTTTTGGTAAGATCTTACATAACTCTCTCTCTCTCTCTTTTACTTCTTGTCCGGTCTCTCTTTTCTTCCCTCCTTCTTTTCCTAACTTTTTTCCCCTCTTCTCCTTAACCTGTTTCTTTCCTCTCTTTTTTCTTTTATCCCTTCCCCCATTCATTAAGCCTTTCTGGTTGCAAGTTCTACTCTCCCTCCCTATCATCTTTTCTTCCTCTAACTCCTTCCTTCCTTCTTCCTTCCAACGTTTCCCCTTTCTTTCTCGCACCCTCCCTCCTTGCCTCCACGTTTGCTTGCTTCATCCCTCACGCCCTTTCTTCCTGCATCTTAAATTTTTGTTCATTTGTCTGTCTTTTTCAACATTCTCCGTCTAGTTTTATTGTCGTGGTTATCATGATGTTGATGATGATGATAGTCAGTATTACTATCACACTGAATTGTTATATTTCACTCTTCTTGTTTCAGTATTCAAGCAGCCTTCTACCTATTGTTTCTAACCGTACTGTCCTACGCACTCATTCATGGCTCAACTCAGGACGATCCAAATAAATACAGTGGAAAAGCGAATGGTCTCCGGTTGTTCTGTGAAATTATCACCATTATTTTTATCATGTTTTACTTTTTTGAGGAGGTGAACCAAGCAGAGCGGTAAGATGGCTTAGTTTTCTGCATAATTTTCGTTATACAGTGGAACCTCGATATAACGAAGGGCCAAGGTGCCATATTACGAGGTTTCGTTGTAGCGAGGACTTTGTTATGTAGAGGTTCGTTGTACATGTTGTATCGAGGTTCCACAGGTTGAACCCACTGGCAGTGAAATGAAAGTGAATGAAAGTGAATGAAAGTGAATGAAAGTGGAATAAAAGAACAAGTAGAAACATTGTACAAAGGTTGTACACTCTGAAAGGGGATATTTCTCAATTAGGGATCTTTGGGTAGCTGGATTTCAAGCAATACCATAGTCTCTTGATCAATTTGTTTTTGTTTTGTTGTGAGTATACATGAAAAATTAGTTTTATCAATGGCGTTGATAAAGTAAATTTATGTCGTGCCCAGCAATCCTCGGCGCCTGTGCGTCTGTTGGCTCAGAGATGCTTGACCGTGAAAGAACTGTGTACGAGATTACGCAGCGTCACCTGAAAACCTGCTTGACAACGATGCGAAAACACGACTTATTTATTTATTATTTATTTATTTATTTATTTATTTTCGTCCTCTTCAGGGAGTGGAAAACCTATTTCAAGGATCCCTACAACTATTTTGATTGGCTGGGGCTTTTGTTGACGTTTCTTGTCATTCCTCTACGGTTTGCTGAAGTCCAGTCTCAATGGAGTGTCGCTGGACTCGGTTACCTGTTCAATTTTCTCAGGCTCTTCAAGTTCTCTTGTGTCACCAGGTATTTTATATTTTTACGAATAGCAGCTCGAGTCAAGAGACTCATGCTTCGTCCACACATCATTCCGCTGGAAGAACCCGTACAAACGATTCGCTTACGTCTGTTCACACGAGGAAAAATTAAAATTATACATTAAGTCATAAAAGAAAAGCCGGCTATTGTGTAGTTCAAAAGGGCTACAGCGCTCAGTGTCTTCAGATTTCAAGTGCCGGTGAAAATAACCGAGACAACGAGCGGACTTTCAAGTAGCATCGCATTTGCGTTTATTTATTTTTATAAGCTTTGCAACCGGCGCTTTCAGAACTGAATTCATCTTGCTAATTGCGGCCAAAAAACAGGATCTTGACGTACAACTGCAGGTTAAATCGTACGCAATTTTCATTGTTACAGTTCTGATTTTCCCTCGGAATTGCAGCATTTCTGCTCAGATCCTCGCATTTTATAGAAAGTCGTCTTGACTTCGTGTTCCTGCTCTGTGAATCGGGAATCTGATTCAAAGATTGAATAAGCATTTCTTGACGAAATTTTGCGCTTGTGTTCAAAATATCCTCTCGTATGAAAAGGCAAAACAAATGCAATCTCGGCTCTTCGGTAAAAGCATAGAAAAGAAAAAATTAAGCCCTCGGAGAGATTCGAACTCTCGACCCCTGGTTTACAAGACCAGTGCTCTAACCACTGAGCTACAAAGGCTTGTTGAGTATGTAGGGCCAATTTATTGCTATTTCTTGTTTGCGATTTTTTCAAGATTATTCATTGCAGTTGCATATTTCCAAAAGAGTACCCGATCACCACGGAAATTCTCTGACCAAAGCTGCGAAATTCGACTACTATTTACGTGTAAAGGTGTTATGAAAGAATTAGAAAACTCATAGTTGAAGGAGAATTTAAAATCTTTTAACTTCCCTATTTTGTTGCACATCTTAAATTCCAGGTTAAGTTTTGATCGCGGTTAGACGTAAAAAACGTTTCTGGTTATTGACGTGACGACACGTAGGCCATATTGTTATACCGAAAACATAAAACTGCGACCATATTGGATCAACCCTGGGGGATTACTCGCGTAACCACGATCTTTTGTCTCAGTGAGTTAAGCTATGCTATACCGGATAGCCGTTGGACCTGCACCAAAACCATATCCGATAGAGCTTTTTTCACACTTTTCTGTAACAAAGCTGGACTGCGCCGCGCCGATCTTGAAAGTGAATCGTCACATATCGGATAAGTTACTGTGCCACTCTTTATAGCAGTGTCAGTAGCTGGTTTTTTTTCCTCGTATCAGGCCGGAGTATTTTTCCTGTAGATATAATAAGCCATCCGGTATGGTGTAGACAAGGCAGCCTAACTTAACCGCTCGGCCGATCATGTGCTAGCCTGCGAAAACAGCCGTCTTTCTTGTCTTCTCGCCGATGGGGACGGCTAATCGTGTGCCAAGTAAAAACGCTACATATCAAATGCCACGAGAATGAATGGGTTAGTTTCAATAGAAACTGTGGGACTGTTTGTGAGAGAGTGAAAGAAATGTGGCGGTTTATCAACTGAGTTTATTAGGTCAATTTACCACCATAAAAAGACTTTTGAACTAACTTTTCGCGCGCTTACTCTTCGTCGGAACCATGAGACACTGCCTTTAATCGGACATCTGATTCTGAAAAGTGGATTTAAAAAAAAAAAGGCACTGCCCTTTCTGGCCTCCAAGCAAGTTTTTTTAATGCGCAGTTTTTTCCCATAGAACCACAGGCCTGTACACCAAGACTCTGGCAAGGATAATCTACAGGGACATAACTCGCTTCGGTGTGGTGTTTGTTGTTGTGTTTCTTGGATTTTGCGGTGCCATGTACATGGCACTGAGAGCTACAAATTCGCAAAATGTTTTTAGGTAAGACGGTGTTTAGTAATAAACTAGCCTAGACCACTTCTTTTAACCATTATCAGTTATAGAAGAAGCCTTTAGGGAAAAAAGTAGACTTGCTACAAGTCGACCTCTCCAAACTCTAGAAAATCGAGGGAAGCGAGCCTCAATTAGATCACGCAGCAACCGAGCGAGCGTCAAAGTCGCGAACCAACCAGGAAAAAAAATAAAGGACTTTCAGAAAGTTTACGAAAAAATAGTGCATGCGGGAACTCGCGTGAAGAAGCACAAGAAAGAAATATTTTCTTCCTAAATATTTATCGAAATATTCACTTGTACTTCTCAACGACTTAGATTAAGTTTCTAGTGGAAACCATCGTTTCATCAAGGTGACCACTGTAAGTCCAGTAGCTCCTTGATGATGATGATGATGATAATGATGATGAAAACACTGCCCCTGAATATGTTGCTTGTGTCTATACTTATTGCGTTTGAACCACTCATAGGCTGATTGTGGCACATGACAGAATTTGTTGATTAAGTGAACTCTTCTTTTTATTTTTGGCTTTTTTAAAGTAATTATGCTTGGCTGATGTTGGCTGCCATTAGAGCTCTTGTTGAACAACAGCCAGCTGAGGAAGACTACAGTAAATTCAAGTAAGGTTCTCTTCTATATTCGTTTTTGGGTTTGCTTGACATATTTTCTTGTAGTTATACTTCATGTAGATGATAAATCTTACGAAGGGTTTGGCAACAAGGCCTTTCGTAGATGGTTTTTGTGTAGCAGCTTGCACTTTCATTCACAGTTGGCCGTCGGATTTCGGGTAGTTTTTTGTCGGTTCTTCAGACAGTTGGTCAGGTTACTTGCGATCTCGTTCAAAACACAACGTGTTAGGAAAGGACGACATCTCACAATCCCAGAATTCTTCCCAATAAATTAATGCCTTGTCGCCCGTTCGATATTTTTGACACAGTTTGGTCAAGCTGTATTTAGCCAAACAGTCCCCAATCCTCTCTAATCAATTATCTTGAGGTGCTTAAGTCGATTGTTTTTTACTAATCATGGTTGTCATTTTCTTTTGTATGCCTTGTTAGCTGGCTGGTAATTCTTATTCTTCTCGCCTACATGGCATTGGTAATTGTGGTGCTACTTAATATTCTCATCGCTCAGTTAAGCTATACCTACAGCGAAGCTAAGAAGACTGCTAAACTGCAGTACGCTATCGACGCCATGTTCATTGTTACACGTCTGGAGTACAGCAGACTCGCTAGATGGGTACGCTTCGGTTTATTGCCACTGTTTGTTTAGCATTCGTTTTTTCTTATTACGATATGTGTCTAATCTGTTTATGTAATTACTTGCTTTTTTTAATGCCTGCCACGCAGGATAGGGAAATCGCGGTTGTTAGTGAAATTCACACGCGAGCGAGCCGCGAAAGATTGGCGCGGGAGGAAGCAAATGGTCCTTCTCCCGCCCTCGCGACTCGCTTCGCTGGACTCTTTCGATTCTCAAATGGAGATATTTATACAATGAAAATAAGACCATTTTTTGTCGAAGTTTTGCTTTGAGGTAAAAAAAATATAGGTAAAAAAAATTTAGGTAAAAAAATAATATTAAAAATATATTAAAAAATATAAAATATAATAAATAAATAAATAAATGGCAAGCCCCCGGAGAGATTTGAACTCTTGACCCCTGGTTTACAAGACCAGTGCTCTAACCCCTGAGCTACGGAGGCTTGTAGTATGTATTTGCCAGATTACTACTGCTTCTACTTTTCGATTTGTCAAAGTCTCTGATGGGCTCCTGCATTTGCCTATTTTTCGTGACTCTCTCCCCCCTGTTTATTTAAAACCCGCGTTTAACTGATCACGCTGGTCGGTTGCCAGGGCTCCCCACCTTTTCTACTACTTGATTATCTCAGGCTCCGTGTCTACATTAACTACCAGAAGTTTTGTGGCATATGACGTTGTAAAATGGCCTGATCAATTCAAAACCGCGAGAGAACTCATGCTGAAAATGAACTTTACAGTATGATTTGTTAAAAGTTATTATATACTGAAAAACTACAGGAAAAAAAGTTTTTTCTTCATGAAAATAACAGAAAACTCTTCCCTTTTGTTTCAGAACTTAAGGGTCAAGAATTATTTGCCCGGTGACTGGGTCAGTGAAAAAGACCTTGCAAAAGGTAAGCTTTAAAAGGAATTTGTCACAAGGGGTTTTTATATTTGATCCTTAATGTACATTGTGTGTGGCCAAAGGCCAGTAAACGCGGACGTATTTCCCGGCCTGCAGAAATAAAATCAACTCTCGCCTTGCGGACACCCCGATAGTATGGACAGCGGCCAAATCCCTGGCAAAAATAAATCACGGATGTTTGACTGAAATAAACTTCCGCCATTACGGGCTCTCGCTAATGAGGGCACTAAGTCAAGGTCCCTAAGGTGTCCGCTATAAAGGGAATTGCCTGTACACCTTTTTTGTTTGTTTGTTTGTTTGTTTTTTTTTGCGTTTGCTGGCTAAGGTCACTCGTGCTAACTAAAAGAAATGGCAGCGATTGTGGGGACATGTAAGTAAGTGGTTTTTTTTTCACCGCCGTAAGTCACTTTTTCGAGCTTCCCAGGCAAATGTTCTTTGGACTTTGTCACGTGTGACGGCATACCTTTTCCAGCATTTCTTTGTTTGCTTGTTTTTTGTTGTTGTTGTTTTTTTTTTTTAAGGCTGGGAACACCAAGGGAAATATTACAGGGTTCAAGTCCTCTCATGTAACATTACCAACGTATGAAAAAGTCTTGTTGACATAGCTTCCTTATCCAGCGTCCCTCATAGGTTCTTGCTTTTTCGTAGAACTTCTGGAATACAGTGATGATCGTCACCCATGGGAAAACTTGGAAGTAAAGCTAAATGACATAAGGTGAGCAAGGGTTTGATGCTGTGGTTCCCTCTCTCACCCCTGACCTCAGAGCTCGAAGTTAACTTTTTAGTGCACTTGCAAAGTTTTGCTAGTAAGATATTTTTCCATTAGCAAACTCGTGAGATCACTAGCAAATTCGTTCCCTTTGTTTGGGAGACATGGATATTCTAACTCGCAAACGTTTGCTCGTGGATATTTTTGTTACTCGCAGATTATCAAAATCAATCGCATTTTGTGAGTTTGCGAGCGTTAATTTTCGAGCGCTTGACCTTGTTAGCTTATCAGTTTCTTTATTGGGTGCCCTGTTTGTTTCGGTTCCAGTCCCCCTGAGCAGTTTTTTCTCAAGCGCTCGCTGTTGATCCCGGAGCAAGTTCACAACAGCGTCTGGTGCTCTTTGTTGTGCTCTTGTTAAGTGCACTGAGGCTGTTCTCGCGCTTGTCTTGCAGAAAAATTAACGAATATATCTCATATAATATTTATTTTCATCAGGGAGTTAATGAAGAAAGTGGTCAAAAGAGGAAAAGAGAAGGACCCATTGGAGAGCGTTGATGAAAAACTGACAAATTTAACGTGAGCAGTTTTGTTAGATTTCTTCTCTAGAACCCTTCAAACTTCATTCAAAGGTGTCAATACATCATCTTGCTACATCTATGAACACAAAGCGTCTTAGTGCTTTATCACTTGCAGCAACATCTTAACGGTTGTGCTTATTAGGCCTTCTTCTTCTTCTTGGTCTGAAAAGGAAACTGGAGCTAACCCTCAGTCGAGGCTGTATATGCCTCGTGTCAGATCCTTCCGGAATACGTTTATGGTCTATTGTCGGTTTGGTATGTACTGGATGTGTGCTAAGTCGCTCGTCCCTCGTTAGGCCTTCGCAACACGCCTTAGTAATTCGATTCACCCGACTAACGTAAGACCCTTCTATCGTTCCTTCATTCTTTTCATGTAACTGGAATACTTGTTTATTCACTGCATATTGTTTGTTGTTTTTGTTTTAGGGCCATGTTCGACAAGCTCTCTGCGTGTCCAGAAAAGGCCGAAACTTGATCTGCACTGCGACATGAGATTTTCTTTACAATAATAATTCTGTAATACAATAGCGGCTAGAATGTACGGTTCCAGCAGCTGTCGTTACGCGTCTCTCTCTTGCTCGGAAGCTCCACAGAGCGTTTGGAGATATCCGCTGAATGATATGAGTGCCGGTGCATAAGACGAGAGGATCGAATGAGTGCCTTCAATCATACCATCACTTTACTAACTTCTCCGTTGAATGAAAACCTCGGAGAAGTGAGGTCTTACAATTTTAAGGCCTTCTCTTACTTATCTCCGTGCAGGAAGTGCCACAACACCACAACACGTTATCAGAGTTGTTTTACAATTTCAAAAGATATTTACTTTTTAGGACTCAGATAAATAGTCCGAGTAGTCTAAGGGATGAGTCAAGTTTCTTGGCAGGGGTAAATATTATCAGGTAAAAAAGTCGTTGTTAAAGAAGTCAATGAGAAGTTCTGCATAAAGTATGTAATCAAACAGCCTTCAGTTTTTTTTATTGTAAAAGTGACCGGAGGCCAAATATTATTTTCGCGATACAATATGGTTACATAAAAATAACAACCCAGGGTAAAGTGGAAAGCGAATATAATAAAAATTAGTAAAATCCAACCAGTGGTCTATTATCAATGCTGCGTTCTGATTGGTTGAGCTACCACTAGGCTATATGTTATAGCTCACTAGAAGCGAAAGCGCTGGCTTTTTGGTGGCCAAAAAGGATCAAAGTCTCGCTTTAACCAGCTTAAGTTGTTTTGTCTCGATATTTTTGACCATTCGGGCTCGAGGAATAATTGTTAAATAGTAATCAGCTAAAAAATTTATTTCATCTTCGGACGGACGCCGTGGACGTGATCGTCTTAGAGACCACACGTGGCCAAAGCTCGAAATATGAGAGTCAGCACTGTTGCGTAACCTTCGGAATATACTTAAATGATTTGTATGAGGAAAACTAGACTTTCTCAAAGCCCGTTTCCGGTCTATTGGAATTTAACTATTTCGTGCCTGGGCTACCTGTGAAGAGACCTGCGCAAGTCATAGAAGGTTAGGCCTGGGCAGGTCAAACTTCGAACTTCACGCGCTAATAAGCTAAATCTACTGTTCTGGCTCATTAGCATTGGGTAGTTGACTTTTACCCTGGCCTTGTGGATATCATGACTGAAAAACGGCAGGCGTCCACTTTAGGGAGGTGTCTGGCCGGCTTCACAGTGAAAGTTCGCTGTACCTGGAAGCATAAAGGTCCAAGGGGTATTCCCTTATATAAGCCGTATAGGTATGTGCCGCCTTAGAGGAATGAAAGGGTATGGTTTTTGCGCCGTTTTGGTCTGAAAACAGGTATAGATGTTGCCCATTTTGGTCTGGAATCGGGTATAGTTTACGGAGGAACCACGTTTGTGTATCAATGTATTCGTCGTTTCAATTCCAAATGAATCAGAAAGAAAGTGTAATTCGAAATGGATTTTAAGAAATCTTTTTGTTGCGGTTTTAATCTCAGCAATGATGACGTAATTTCTGGTTTATGTAAACATGTAATGTTGCGTTTTGTGACCACCACCAGGTCTGAAAACCAGTTTGAAAAATGACATTTTTGGTCTGAATTGGGGTCAGGATTTTGAGAACCGGGCTGGACATCCGGGGGGGCGATCTGCATATAAAAGGGGTGGGGATGTTCTTCGGAAATTTTGGATTAAACCAAGGAGACCGATCTGGGCGTGACCCAAGCTCTTTTTGACCCCTAAAAAGAGACCATGTTGAAACACAGACAATACACATATTTTTATATTTTTTCACGTGCAACCCTAAACGAGACCTTTACGGCTAAATATGATGGCGTTTTGCTCAGAACACCCTAAGTGAGACCAAAATCCGAAATTTACACCCCTAAGCGAGACGACGAGCATCCCCACCCCTTTCATATGCGGAGTCCCTCCCCGGGGGCAGGACAACCCCAACAAAAATTCCCAGGAGTACCCCTCCCCATTCCCGAGTCACAAGATGTTTCCTGTCAACACGCATGCATTATCTNATGTATTCGTCGTTTCAATTCCAAATGAATCAGAAAGAAAGTGTAATTCGAAATGGATTTTAAGAAATCTTTTTGTTGCGGTTTTAATCTCAGCAATGATGACGTAATTTCTGGTTTATGTAAACATGTAATGTTGCGTTTTGTGACCACCACCAGGTCTGAAAACCAGTTTGAAAAATGACATTTTTGGTCTAAATTGGGGTCAGGATTTTGAGAACCGGGCTGGACATCCGGGGGGGGCGATCTGCATATAAAAGGGGTGGTGATGTTCTTCGGAAATTTTGGATTAAACCAAGGAGACCGATCTGGGCGTGACCCAAGCTCTTTTTGACCCCTAAAAAGAGACCATGTTGAAACACAGACAATACACATATTTTTATATTTTTTCACGTGCAACCCTAAACGAGACCTTTACGGCTAAATATGATGGCGTTTTGCTCAGAACACCCTAAGTGAGACCAAAATCCGAAATTTACACCCCTAAGCGAGACGACGAGCATCCCCACCCCTTTCATATGCGGAGTCCCTCCCCGGGGGCAGGACAACCCCAACAAAAATTCCCAGGAGTACCCCTCCCCATTCCCGAGTCACAAGATGTTTCCTGTCAACACGCATGCATTATCTGTTTGATATAAAATCAAATATGCCTAAAATATTTGCCATGACATTTGAATCACTTATGCGCAAAAATTTTTCTACAATGGACGTTTGCACCTTTAAAGCACGTGTTAAAATTAACCATACACCATACACATTAAGACGTGACTTGATTTTTATCCATTACATTATTACGAATTAAGAGGATGCCCAGCGTATTAAATGGAGCAAAATCGGCAAAAGCGGACAAAACATTTTATCACAAGAAGAACAGATGTTACCTTTGACCTTAAAATAATTCATTTCCTAGTTGGTCTGTATTTTTTCCGTATTTACCCAGTACGTCTAATATATCACTCCCATTCCCGCAAGTCAGACAATTGCCGTATCAACAGGATATCGTACCGGGTTTGTTATGTAAAGGATAACATTTTTAAAAATTCAGTCAGTAGCGCGCGACTCCTATGGGCTATAGGTCACGTTCTTCATCTCCGTTTGGTTACCCTTGGATCTTGAGATTTACGATGCTTTGCTGTTACCTTACCATAGCATGGTGCTTGCTTAGATTTTCACAAGGTAACTTACTACACTGTCCTAATAATTTGTCCTTTATAAATTTTATTAATTTAGCGCTGTTATCCTTGTAGTTTCTACGGATGAGGTAAAAACGCGTTCGGCTTATAATCACTTAAAACACTGCCAAGCAGTTCACTCCGATCCGGCCCAGAATTAAGAAAACACGTATAGTGTTGATATCTTCAGTCCTTTTATATCTTGCTGTTTGTTTGTCAGTATCAACTAAATGAAAGTTCTAAGTAGAATTTTCTTAATATTCACTATGGCTTGAACAGATGTGTTGTCCCTTGTCCTAGTAATTTTGCTGCATCCTTCCTAATCACGGTTACGCAAATTATTTTTTAAACTAGACAATTGACCTCTTGCAAATATTGTCTGATCTCTTTTTTACTCGAGTCCTTTCCAGCAATACAGGAAGTTTTCTAACATCAACCATGCTGCTGAATTGTCAAGCAGAAACTTCCTTGATCAATGTAATTTTAGACCGTCAGTGATCTTTACTTGTGGTCACGGTGCGGGTCAAAATTAAATATTGCGCAAAATGTACTTATTTTTTGTTTTACTGAAGATTCACATTGATTGATGATCACATTGAATTCTCACGAACTAGCTTACATGCTTCTGGTGAGATAATAAGTTAAGTTGGGTTTCTTTTCCCTTTGGTGTCAAATGGTTGAAACGAAAAAAACATTTTTTGAGTAGGTATGTCGGGGGTGTGCCAGGGGCCGGTCATGTTCAACCAATCAGAGATAAGCTGCAGCGTCATTCGCGTGATAACATCATCTCCTGATTCTCTCCTGAGTTTTGCTCCAGCTTTCGCCCTCTCTTTTGCTCTTTTGACCTGAAAAAACGGGAAAATTAACTTTCCATTCGACTCAAAAATTAAGCTGTAAAGTCAACGCACCATTTTTTTTTAGTTGCTGTTAATAAAATCTAGCGTTACTTTTCTCAGAGCGAGGCTTGTTAGTCGCCCTTTTTGTGTTTGTACATTTTTTTATTATTTTGCAATAGAACAAAATTAAAACTGCAATGTCTGTGGTATCATTCAAGCGTTAAAACAATGGTTTTATTGGCTAGATTTTTTCCCTCTTGATTCATGGGACAGGGGCGCAAAAGCCATTGCACTTATAGTAACCTTCCTCCTTCCACGACAGATCATATTTTGGGTTTTGTGTGGACAGGGTTTCTCATTTTATAACATATCGGTGAAATGATAAAGGGTGACCGGACAATGACATATAAAAATAAAACTATTTAAAGCAAGCCGTTTATTAATTCATTTTCCCATTAACATATCATAGGTTACTTTTGTCTAAATTGTTTATTTAATAATAATGTTCACTTCTATTCTGCTGACAGGGTTCGCACAGTCTTCAACAGTCCTTGAATTTCTGTGCAAGTCCTTGAAAAGTCCTTGAATTTTCTTCATCTTTGAATTTAGTGGCACGGAAAGTGTTTTTTGATGATTTTTTGTTGTCCAAGACAGAATATAAATCATAGCTCAGAGCATTTAAAGGTTATTTACATAAAGTGCTCAATGTTTTATGCAATAACTAGAATTAACTATCAATTTAAGAGAAGTGAACTGAAAAATGTACAGAAGTTGGTGAAGCAAACATTTTTTTTATAAGAAAGGACTGGAAATGTACACTTTTGTACAACCTGTGAAATAATATTTCTAGTAGGTGGTCCTTGAAAATCTAATAGGGTCTTTGAAAAGTCCTTGAAAAATGGTTGCAGTTTTTTGTATGAACCCTGGCTGAGTTCGTACACTTCACATCTGAATTGATAGATAAAAACAGTAACCAATGCAAAAAGGGGATACAATACAGTTTTTGAGACGCATAAAAAAATGAAAAAACTTTTGTTACTGGTCAAGATAGGAGCCTTAACTTGTGGTCTCCATTTAAACACTTACTGAAGAAAGAAGGTACCATTTTAAGCTCACTCACTTCACAAATGTGTCTATAAACTTTTTTGGCAACAACAGCAGTGAGGCTTGAACACAGGCAAGCTTTCTAGGCATGGTACCACATAGCTCCCATTTGTCATTTTGGACATCGTAACACTCAACACTGTCATATTTGCAATAAGTACGATCTTCTCCCCCAAACAGATACAGGTGATTATCAAAACTGACCATAGCACATGCTGCTCGAGGCACAACTGGACTAGACACCAGGCTCCATTGGTCTTGTACAGGGTCAAACATTTCACAGCTTCCCTCTACACTTATGAATTGTGTGTCACTATATCCTCCAGCAATGAAAATTTTTCCACACAAAACAGCTGCACCAGCAAATTGTCGTGCAACATTCATACTTGGTCTGTCAGCCCAATGATTAGTTGATGCATTAAAACATTCAATGCTTTTATGACAAACATTGTTATCACAACCACCAAGGACATAGATAAGGTTTTCCACAACAACAGCACAGTGAGACGCGCGTGAAGTTTTCATTGAGGCAACTTCCTTCCATTCATCAAGTCCGGGATCATATTTGTCGACTCTGTTCAAATGCTTGTCGCCACCTATCACATAAAGGTTTCCATGAAGAGAGGTAACTGAACAATGTTGACGAATTGGTGCTGTTGTTTCAGTTGGAAACCACTTGTTTTGGTTGGGATTATAGGTGCACATTGGGTGAGATGCCTCGCCACCAACTACATACAACTGACCACAACACACTGCAGCCCCATGACGTGTACGAGAGAATGGCATAGAGGGTAGGGATGCCCATTGATTATGGGACAGCAGAAAACAATAGGCATTATTGGACACGTTAGCATCATGCCCCCCAGTAATAATTACAGCCAATTCATTCATTCTTAAGCATGTTCGTGGTGTAAGTCTCGTGCTTAGGAAACTATCTGGAAAGAAAAAAAAATTAATTGCTTCAAATATGATACTTGCACAAGTCCTACTTTTCATGACCAGTTCTTCTTTTGCAATTTCCGCAATTCCACTCTTTGACATCGAGAAAAATCTCAAGCATTTTAGTAACTCAGGAAAGAGTTTCTCCCTTGATGAAACATCATGCTTCACCCACGTGACAACAGCTTCGTAGACTTCTTCTTCCTTCGAAACGATTATATCGTCATGCAACACAAGTTCCTTTATTCGTTCAAAATTGAGAGCTTTAAAATCATCCGCTTCCACGACAGACACGAAATTCTGAAGCTTATAAGCAGCTGCAGCCTCTGTAAGTGATTTGCAACCGTACTGAATAGCAAGCGATTCCATTTCTAGGCAATTTGAGGCATGAATAGTATCCTTTAAGTAATCTGAGACTTTAGCCTTCAAGCTCGGAATGATCAGATAGTCCGCTGTCCTAAGCAGATCTTGAGCGTTACTGGCATTTACCAAAGCTTCACCAGTGTAAATAAAACGAAGAGCTTGGTCCATTGTGGTAGTTTTTATCTCTTGCAATTCCACAACGCTGTCTAGATTTTCTCTAAACCCACTGGTAAAGAGAGATCGGAAGTATGGGCTTGCAGCTGAGAGAACACACCGATGTGCAGCGAAGTCCTGCCCTTCGATTCGAAGTGTTACATCACAAAGAACCTTATCTTTTCTAAGTTCGTTTAACTTGAAAAGTAACTTTTCCTTAAAATCCTGGTTAAATACTAGTTCTTCTCTTACGCTTTCCGCCTTTCTGGTAGGCTCTATCTTTGCCGCCATCTTGGATTTCTTGAACGATGCCCTTTTATGCTAGTCCCAGTCTTCTCTCTTAGACAGTTGTCATTAATTATTTGGGGAGGGGAGGTGCATACAAGAGAGCTTTGGTGCTTATTTTGAAAGGAACTACTGTATTCGGTTTACCACTTTTGTAGTCAATTGTAAGGTCTCCGTGGGGCTGGGAACTCCCGCATATAAACGGGCGGGGATACTTGATGTATCGTGGAGAGTGTTTGAAGATTTGATATCACAGGGTGTTCATGCAGGACAGAATGCCAATATTTTCAAAGTGCCTTATAGTTTTATTACGTTAACTTAAAGAACACATCTCTACAAGGACGTCTTCGCAAAAAGTTTGCGTTTTGACCAAAATTCTAAGTTTTTTGGTCCGCTGATCACGAAATTGGCTCGTATGTGACTTCATAAGACAAATTCGGGAACTAATAATGCTTATCCCTCTCTTAGGGTCGCCAGAGTTGTTTCATCTAACAGTCACACATCTTACTGACATATTTTACCTCTTAACGGCCGTTTCAGTTTGTGAATTGAAGGAATTATTGCCATAACTCCACACTTGCTTACTTCACTTGTATCTTAATTCACCGTGCCTTGATATACGTCATAGTTCAGTTGGTAGTCTACGTCTCAACTTTTTTGTTTCTTAGAGGCTTCCAAAAGAAGACGGCACATAAAATTCTTAAAAATTACATTGTGTTCAAATCGGAATTTTTTGCAAAAGTTCTCGCAGTTATGTGTACTTCAATAATAACATTAAAAAACATTCTTACGTTATGGGCACTTAGGGCACACAGGCATGGCATAAGGCTCTGCTTCAAGGAGTAAAGAAAGCAGATGTAAGATAGAAAGAAATAAGAAAGAATTCAATGAAAACTTCTTCATCAGAATAAAAAAGCTATTATTTAGCTGCCAGTTTTAGAATGGTATCTTTTAGGCGTCATATAAATCTTAAGCCACACCCAGATTAGTATCCTTAAGGGACTTTCATCAGAAAATTGGAGCTCCACACCCTCTTCATGTGAAAGTATTCCCCCCACCCCGCCCTCCAGGTATCAGCTAACTGGCATTTGGTATGCCGAGCTGTATCCATGTAAATCAGCCAATCATGGATTGCAAGTGATAAACAGGAAAAATAAAAGTTATTAACATTCAAAATGCCTGTAGTACGAGACAAAGGTATACAATGAAAGAATTCCAACCACTGTTGAAGGCACTGTTTAATAGTTTCACTGATTTAATGACATACTAGTAAATCAGAAACAATATACTTTACATTAAGATTGAAAATGCCCATTATCTGAGCTACTGGTGTATTCATTCATACTTGTGTCAGTCCCTGCTGGTTTAATCAAATTACAATAATTGCAATTACAGTTTAACTGTTGCATTTATTTTGCCTCTATACTAGTACTAATAAAAACAAGATGGTAATTTTTTAAGCTCAGTGATAAACTTTACTGTTCAACAAAGCATATCTGTTTTCGCAGTGGTACACACTACTATGATGTGCTTTATGCTGCATCTTTCTTTATTGGTATGGCATTATCAAACAGAACATCTAAAATACAAATGGTCTTTAGAAGACAAAAACTATAAACAGTTGGATATAATAAAAAGACAGTAGTAGTACTACTGTGTTTCACTAACATCAGTGAAGCTTAGACACAAGCAAGCTTTCTAGGCATGTATGGTACCATATAGGTCCCATATTTTGCCATTTTGGACATCATCACACTCAACACTGTCAAGTTTGGCCTTGCAACCATCTTCTCCCCTCAAAAGGACGTACAGGTCATTATCAAAACTAACCAGAGTACATGTGGTTCAATGCACAAGTAAGGCTAGCCACCAGGCTCCATTGCCCTTGTAGAGGGCCAAACATTCTACAACTTGCCTGCATTCTCTGTCATTTTATCCTCCAGTAACAAAAATTTTTCCAACAGAAACAAGTGAATCAGCAACTCTTGTGTATGAAATTTACACTTGACCTGTTAGTCCTCATTGACGCAACTATGCATTCATTTGCTATATATGACAAACACTAAAACCACAACCACCAAGGAATATTAGAATAAATTCTGGTCTTCTTTACTTTATTGTATATATTTTTTTGGGAACAGTAACATGGAAGCTTGAAGGCAGGCAAGCTTTTCAGGCATGGTACCAATTAGTTCCCATTTGTCATTTTTGATGTCATAACATTCAACTGTGTCAAGTTTTTGCTCATTAGCTTTATCTTCTCCACCAAACAAATAGAGATAATGGTCAAAACTAACTAGAGCACTTGCAGCTCGAGGCATAAGTGGTCTAGACAGCAGACTCCACTGGCTGACAGTAGGGTCAAACACTTCACAACTTCCCTCTAAAGTTTGGAAGTCCATGTCACCATATCCTCCAACAACAAAAATTTTTCCACAAGAAGTAGCTGCACTGGGGTATTTGCGCTTAGCATTCATGTGCCTTTTGTCAGTCCACTGATTAGTTGATGAATCAAAACACTCCATACTGTCATGGCAAATTACACCATCAGAACCACCAAGAACATAGATAAGATTTCCAACTACAACTGCACAGTGTGCATAACGGCCAATTTTCATTGATGCAACTTCACTCCATTCATGAAGGTGGGGATCAAATTTATCAACTCTTTTCATGTTATCTTTTCCACCTGTCACATACAGCTTTTCATTTAGGGCAGTGACAGAACAACCCATACGCTCCTTTGGCATTGGTACCCTGTTGTCAGAAGTCCAAATGTTCTGTTTTGGATCAAAACAGCACATTGTCGTTGTTGGCTTACCGCCAACTACATACAACTGCCCACAACAAACTGCAGACCCATGGCGTGTACGAGAACCTGGCATAGAGGGTAGGGATGCCCACTGGTTTTTAGACAGTACAAAACAACTAGTTCTGTAAGTTGCACTGCTCTTGTGTCCCCCAGTGAGAATTATGACCGGTTCAGTGGTGTTTAAGCATGTGCGCGTTTTAAGAGACATTCCTTGGAAACTATCTGGAAATAAATAGAAATCAAGTCCATCATGTAAAATGCTTGTACAAGTCCTGCTTTTGATGATCAGTTCTTCCTTTAAAATTTCTCGCAGACTGTACTTTGACATCGAGAACAATCTTAAACATTTAAGCAATTCCGGAAAGACGCTTTCTCTTGACGGAACATCATGTTTCACCCACGAGAGAACTGCTTCATAAACATCTTCCTCCTTGGAAACAACTATCTCGTCGTGTGTTACCATTTCCTTGATTCTTTCGAAATCAAGCCTTTTAAAATCATCCGATTTCACGACAGATACGAAATTTTGAAGCTTAAAAGCAACTGCAGCCTCGTGTAGCGATTCACAACTGAACTCAACTGCAAGCGATTCCAGTGCTAAGCAATTTGAGGCATCAATAGCTTTTTTCAAGTAAGCAGACACTGTCGACTTCAAGCTGGGGATGAGCAAATAGTCTGCTGTCCTAAGCAGATCTTGAGCGTTACTGGCATTTATTAGAGTTTCGCCGGTGTAAATAAAACGAAGAACTTGGTCCATCGTGGTAGTTTTTATCTCTTGCAACTCCACAACACTGTCTAGATTTTCTCTAAACCCACTGGTAAAGAGAGATCGGAAGTATGGGCTTGCAGCTGAGAGAACACACGATGTGCTGCGAAGTCTTTCCCTTCGATTCGAAGCGTTACATCACAAAGAAAGTTGTCTTTTCTAAGTTCGTGTAACTTGAAAAGTAATTTTTCCTTAAAATCCTGGTTAAATACCAGTTCTTCTCTCACGCTTTCCGCCTCTGTTATTGCCGCCATTTTGGATTTCACGAAAGATGCCCTTTTTTGCTAGTCCCAGTCTTCTTAGTCCAGCTGTGCGCTGTGGAGCAGACTACAGCCTTTTCTCTTAGACAGAAGAGAGGGGACCAGGGAAACCCCGATCAGTCGTTTGAGCTGAAATTGAAGAATGTGCATACTGCGCTTGTGAAAATGGATAATATTAGGGGGGGGGAGGGTGGAAAGGGAAGGTGCAAATAAGAGAGCATTGGCGCTTATTTTTAAAAGGAACTATTGTATTCAGTTTTCCACTTTTATAGCCCCGTGGGACTGGGAACTCCCATAGAAATGGGCGGGGATACTTGGCGTCTCGTTTAAGAGTGTTTGAAGATTTTGGTACTTAAAAAGCGTGCTCAGGATGCCAATATTTTCAAAGTGCTTGCAACGTAAATAATTTTATTATATTAACTTAAAGAATACGTTTCTTCAAGAATTTATTTTAAAAAAAATTACGTTTAGACAAAAATTCAAAGTCTATGGTTTTTTTGGTACCCGTTCCACTGATCAAAAAATTGGCTCATGTGTGATATCATGAGGTATAAATTCAGGAACTACAAGAAAGTACAAGACAAAGAACTCCAACTGTACTGTTAAAGACACTGTTTAATACTTTCAATGCTTCTCTGTAAATCAGTAAAATATACCGGTACTTAAGATTGATTCATATTTATGAAAGAAGCTAAGTATTTACAGTTTACTTGTTTATTACTTAGCATTTACATTGCCTCCTCTTGTACTTTAAAAACAAGATGGTAAAATCTAAGCTAAGTGATAAAGTTGAAGAAAAGCTTTTAAATACTGTTCAACAAGGTGTTTCAAATGTGTCTAAATCATTTATGTATTTTTTTGGCAACAATAGCAGTGAAGCTTGAACACAGACAAGCTTTTCTGGCATGGTACCACAATGCTCCCATTTGTTGTTTTTGACATCATAACACTCAACACTGTCATATTTGACCTGAGTACGATCTTCTCCACCAAATAGATACAGGTGATTATCAAAACTGACCATAGCACACGCTGCTCGAGGAACAATTAGACTAGACACCAGGCTCCACTGGTCTTGTACAGGGTCGAACATTTCACAACTTGCCTCTGTAGCTGTGAATGCCTTGTCACTGTACCCTCCAGCAACAAAAATTTTTCCACAGGAAACAGCTGCACAAGCAAACTGTCTTGCAATATTCATACTTGGCCCCTCACTCCAGTGATTAGTTAAGGGATCAAAGCATTCAATGCTGTTATGACAAATGCTTGAGTCCATACCACCAAGGACATAAATAAGGTTTCCCAAAATAATTGCACAGTGTGCACCCCGACCAATCTTCATCGATGAGACTTCTTTCCATTCAGCCAGGATGGGAATATATTTATCAACCCTGTTCCAGTACTGATCACCACCTGTCACGTATAACTCTTCATTAAGAGCAACGACAGAGCAGTGCTGACGGATAGAGGTATTTGCCTCAATAACAGTCCATTTGTTTTGTATTGGATCATAAGAGCAGGCCACTTCTTCTCGCATCCCACCTACAACATATAACTGTCCACAGCATACTGCCGCCCCATGACGAGTACGAGGAAATGGCATCTCAGGGAGTGAAAGCCAATGATTTTTTGATGGCAAGAAACAGTAANACTTTAAAAACAAGATGGTAAAATCTAAGCTAAGTGATAAAGTTGAAGAAAAGCTTTTAAATACTGTTCAACAAGGTGTTTCAAATGTGTCTAAATCATTTATGTATTTTTTTGGCAACAATAGCAGTGAAGCTTGAACACAGACAAGCTTTTCTGGCATGGTACCACAATGCTCCCATTTGTTGTTTTTGACATCATAACACTCAACACTGTCATATTTGACCTGAGTACGATCTTCTCCACCAAATAGATACAGGTGATTATCAAAACTGACCATAGCACACGCTGCTCGAGGAACAATTAGACTAGACACCAGGCTCCACTGGTCTTGTACAGGGTCGAACATTTCACAACTTGCCTCTGTAGCTGTGAATGCCTTGTCACTGTACCCTCCAGCAACAAAAATTTTTCCACAGGAAACAGCTGCACAAGCAAACTGTCTTGCAATATTCATACTTGGCCCCTCACTCCAGTGATTAGTTAAGGGATCAAAGCATTCAATGCTGTTATGACAAATGCTTGAGTCCATACCACCAAGGACATAAATAAGGTTTCCCAAAATAATTGCACAGTGTGCACCCCGACCAATCTTCATCGATGAGACTTCTTTCCATTCAGCCAGGATGGGAATATATTTATCAACCCTGTTCCAGTACTGATCACCACCTGTCACGTATAACTCTTCATTAAGAGCAACGACAGAGCAGTGCTGACGGATAGAGGTATTTGCCTCAATAACAGTCCATTTGTTTTGTATTGGATCATAAGAGCAGGCCACTTCTTCTCGCATCCCACCTACAACATATAACTGTCCACAGCATACTGCCGCCCCATGACGAGTACGAGGAAATGGCATCTCAGCGAGTGAAAGCCAATGATTTTTTGATGGCAAGAAACAGTAAGTGTTCTGGTTGCTTTCCTTCATTGAACGGTGTCCCCCTGTGAGAATTATGGCAGACTCCACAGTGCTTAAACAGGTACGTGGCTTGAGAGACATACCCAAGAAACGATCAGGAGAGAAGAAAAAGTCCAATCCTTCAAGTAAAATACTTAGACAAGTCCTGCTTTTTAGAACCAATTCTTCCTTCAGCATCTGCTGTAAACTGTACTTTGATATTGAGAATAATCTTAGGCATTTTAATAACTGTGAAAGAAAACATTCCCTTGACATAAGATCGTGCTTCACCCACGAAACAATTGCTTCGTATACATCTTCTTCCCTTGCAACAATTATTTCATCACGTGATATCATTTCTTTGATTTTATCAAAGTTCAACGTCTTAAAATCCTCTGATTTAACTACAGAAATAAAGTTTTGTAGTTTAAACTCAGACGCTGCCTGTTTTAACGACTCGCAACCATACTGATCTGCAAATGATTCCAGTGCAAGGCAGTTCGTTGCATCAATGCATTCTTCTAAATATTCCGACACCTTCGTCTTCAAGAGTGGAATAAGAAGGTAGTCTGCTATCTTGACCAAATCATGCGCGTTAATGGCGTTCACCAGTGCCTCACCTGTGTAAATGAACCGAAGGGCTTCGCTTAATACCCCAGGTTTAGTGTCTTGCAACACAACAACGGAGTCTTTGTTTTCCTTAAACCCGCTGGTAAATACAGAACGGAAGTACGGGCTTGCAGCTGAAAGAACACATCGGTGTGCAGAAAAGTTTTCCCCCTCGGTTTGAAGCGTCACATCGCAGAGAGTATTGTCTTTCCTAAGTTCATTTAGCTTATCAAGCAACTCTTCCTGAAAAGCCTTATCGCAAAGAACTTTCTCTCCCGCGTTTTGAACTGCAGTTGCTGCCATCTTACCACGTCCTTCTCGTTCCCAGAGCTTGATCCGCGACGCTGACCAAAAGGATCGAAGATCTAGGAATGGGCCCCATTCCCCCAAGGGGTGTGGGTTCGCCAATGCTCTGCTGCCGCGAGGCAAAGGTTCCATGTCAGCAGAGGCCTCGCTTCACGGTATTCGGTGGGCGGGAATACGTGAAAAGAGGCTTCTGCCAGCAGGGAACGTTTATGGGGGAACCAAAAAAAAATTTGAAAGCATTGTTCCTTTTGAGAAGACTTTGCATAACCTAATCTGCGAGCAGGCTTGTTTTTCTAATATTGCAGTAAATTACAGTAAGGGAACAAGGGTAACAATGAGGGTAGACTTACGAAAATACGTCGTGTTCGAAGGCAAGCGTGACCGCTATGCCACGCCTATAAGTCCTTTAGGGATGAAACAGTTGCCGTGGCAACCGAGTGATATGGTTGTTCAAATGCGCATGTTACTACTGAGGACCAATTTTTGGAATGACCATTCCTTTCAAATAGTTATCAAAATATTAAATCGGGTATGAGTGCATGGCAGCATATAAACCAAATGAATATTGCTGTTAACACGTTTCCTTCTTTTCTTGCAGCAGCCACCGTTTGTTATGGTAAATATGGCTGCTTCTCCGACAATCATCCATTCGACAGTCCCCTAATCGCCTTACCGTCACACCCGGAAACCATCGGCACAAAATTCATTTTATACACAAGGGCAAACGCCCTTAAGAACAAGGAAGTTCTTAGCGTTGACATCAACTCCTCAATTATCAACTCTACATTTGAACCCTCAAGAAAAGTCAAGTTTATTATCCATGGATTTACTCAAAGCGGCCAGAGTGAATGGGTCAAGAAAATGGTCCTTGAATTTCTCAAAAAGGAACCAATGAACGTTATTGTTGTAGACTGGGGACTAGGAGCCAGTGTCTTAAACCTGTACGACATCGCGGCCGGAAATACCCGCCTTGTTGGAGTACAATTGGCTGAATTGATTGACGCGCTAAACCGAACGTTTGGGGTGGCATTGAAGAAGTTTCACATCATTGGACACAGTTTGGGTGCACATACAGCTGGATTCGCGGGTGAAAAACTGAGACAAAGTGGGAAAGTAATAGGACGAATTACAGGTACAGTTTCATAACACTACACTCACTTCTGATTGGTTTGTTCTTGTAAGGTGTTAGCATGTTTTCACCATTATTATGCTGTGCAAGGTGTTGAGGCTGAGGATGAAATCCTAAAGTGTGACCATTTAAATGAAATCTGTTGAGCAGCAATTTCTTGTGGGTCACTGTTTGCTATGCAAGGTGGTTCTGACACTTTTGAGGCTGTGGATCGGATGAAATCCTTAAGTGTGACCATTTAAAAATTTAAAAATGAGACCTACTGGGCAGCATTTTCTTGTGGTACGGTTTATTATGCTGTATTCAAAGTGACAATGTTTTTAAGCTATTTTGGTTAAATTCCTTCAGTGTTAGTATCTTTAGCTGTAATTTTTTATCGTCCTTATGGTTCATTGGCTATTTTTTAAATCAACACACAGGTCTAGATCCAGCCGCCCCAGGATTTGATTTCGATGACGCAGCTATCAGACTTGACCCAAGTGATGCTATGTTTGTTGATGTCATTCATAGTGACGTAAGAGATAGCGCCCTCAGTAAAGCTCTAGGACTAAAGCGGCCTTGTGGTCACGTGGATTTTTATCCTAATGGCGGGAAACACCAGCCTGGATGTGACACATCAGACGTCATAGAAGGTAACAATAGGACGCATGTCTTCTTCGTCCACCCCCCCT